ACCTTGTACTGATATGCTCGCCCTTCGAACGCAAAGCGGAGAAACGGTCTGTGTCGAGGGAGAATCGAGACATGAAAGTACGCGTCCTTGAGGTCGATCGCTGCGAACCAATCGAAAGGACGGACGCATTGAAAGATGCGTTTCTGCGTCAACATCCTGAACGGGAGCTTGTGAAGGGCCCGGTTCAACACGCGCAGGTCCAAGATTGGTCGTAACCCACCGCCTTTCTTGGGTACGATGAAGTATGGGCTGTAAAACCCTGACCTCATCTCGGGTAGAGGGACCGGCTGTATCGCGTCCTTCACCAGCAGTACCACAATCTCTGCACGCAGAAAAAGTCTTAACTTTTCTAAAGAATATCTCTTTGGGTTTGAGACTTTAGTCTTTGCATTTTTAGGGATCTTATCTATTCACGAACAGCTTGTAACACTCCAAAGAGAAAGGAAAACTTGAAATCGCATCATATGACCCCTTTAAAATATAATTTTATAAAATAGCAAAAACTACTGTACAGGGAGTTGATGTCGCCCTTTTGTCTCTCTGTAGATAATTGACGGAGAAGGAGCGGCAACGCTGAAAAGACAAATGATCAAGGAGAACTTCCCAGATATCCAGCAGCTAGTTGGGAATTCCCTCTACATTTCAGCCAGTGTTTTAACAGAAACTGGTAAGAGCCAGACCGAACTGAGAGTCTGTGTGGTGGGTTGAGAGTTGGATTTTAGCTTGAGAGTTGCTGGAAGGTTTTTATATTTTACCAGCTCAAAAGGAGACGTATGTGATTTTGTCTAGAGTTGATTTCACCTCAGAAAACGCCTGATGACTGTGTTTGTGTGTGTTTTTCAGGTAGTGAAATGGTAGAAGCGCATAAGAAAGGCATTCAGATTGTGACGTCACCGTACACCATTCTCTTCAAAAGAACACCACACTTCTTCAAACCTGGGATGCCTTTTGATGTCTCGGTATGATAAAAATCACTAAACATTTAAGAATGGGATCATACTCACCTCTACTGAGTTAGGATACACTGTGATATTGGTTATATACGATGATATTCTTTTTCATTTCTTATTAAGGTCTATGTAACAAATCCTGACCAAACACCTGCTAAAAATGTGGAAGTGGAGGTCAGTCCTGGAGGGGTCGGAGGTCGAACAAGAGCCAATGGCATTGCGAAAGTTACTGTCAACACTCCGGGAGGATCTTCAACACTGGAGATCAACGTAAGACCTGAGCTTAAATGAAACATCTCAAAGTCTTTATCGCTTTTTGAAATTTTGCAAACCAACAAAATCAATATGTTTATGTCCAGGCAAAGACCAAAGATCCACAAATAAGTGATGAACAGCAGGCAGTGAGGAAGATGACGGCTCATGCCTACATACCCAAAAGCGGCTCCAACAACTACCTGCATATCGGCATTGATGCTGCAGAGCTTCAGATCGGTGATCAAATGAAAGTCAATCTGAATCTAGGAAACAGCCCTGGAGTGATAAAACAGGATTTCACCTATATGGTGAGGAACACATGACACAGTTATCGCTCGTGCGCTACTTTGTGCATCCTAGTTGTTTGATACAAATGGTGCTTTTTTACCTCTATTTAGGGATGAATTACTGTACAAATTGTAGTCATACTTTTGCAAGCACTATGACCATTTTTTTGAAAGCCTACACCAGTGCTGGAGTGTGACTGCCTAAGCATATCTATCTCACCACTTACAAATTGGTAACTTGACCATTGACCATGAACCATTTTGCCAGACTGTTGGGCAACGTGAGAAAATCAAACATGCTCTCCTGTCTGTCTCTAATAGTGTTTAGTAGTTTTTTGTCCTTTTTGTGGACTGTAAATATTTTATGTTAAAATAGTTTATCAGAGTTTTATTGATTTATATAAATTAAGTTACACTAATTGTATTTGTGCCAGTCAAATGCCACTCTTTATTTTTTTTTAAATAAATGATAATTTATTAGTTAAAATATATTTTAATCAGGGGCCAAGCATCGAAGGTCCGTAGACATCTATTGTAATCATTAATCTTCTTCTTCTTCCATTTTTCTATGGCAGCCAGCCATAGAAAAATGGAAGAAGAAGAAGATTAATGATTACAATAGATGTCTACGGACCTTCGATGCTTGGCCCCTGATTAAAATATATTTTAACTAATAAATAGAATAGAACCATATGGTAAAAATTTGTGAAATGCTTGGCTCAAGCTGATTCAATTGCAAGCCATGGCATCCTTTTCTGCCATTTTGAATCTTCAGAAAACCCTTCTTTTTCGGAGTCCTCCTAGACCATTTGTCCAATTCTAACAAAAATATATCCACATCATCCTCAGACCATGCCAACAACATATGTTGTTGATTAGTCAAACCATTCTCAAATAACACGCAAACAAATTTAACAAAATCGCAAATTTAACAAAGAGCGAAAATGGATGTAAAGCTGTGTCTCTGCAAAGCTTTAGTGTATTCAGACCAAACTTGGTGTGTGTTATAATGACCATGAGCAGGGGTTACCTGCACAGATTTGGCATAACGCCACCTAGTGGTCAGAAGATATGTAAAATGTTTATATTTGCTTACAACTTAACGGTTTGGCCAAAAATCACAAGACTGGTGTCTTTAGAGTCGGAGTAACATACCAAGATGAACTATACCCAAATCTGCCACTTTGAAGTTTTGGGGCAAATCTATAATGCAATTTCAAAACATGCAAATAACTTTTGATTAGTTTTGCCTATTGTCATGGAAATGGAAGATTCCTTGGATCATCCCAAGAACATCGATAATACCAATTAAGACATTATGGGCCGAATTTACTGTCCGGCATTTTGATTTTCTTTGAAAACCTACTATGTTAAAACTAAAAACTTTCATATATTAACATCAAACTTAATTTTGTGACAATGTCACATTACACATTACATCAATTTGGTAACAGCGCCACATATTGGTCAAAATGATAAACCATTAAATCATATTCCTAGTGATTGTATTCATGATTGTTCAGCCATTTTGACTAAATCATCATTTCTTTAATTACTAATTGATGCAGTTGGTCTGATGCTCCCTGCCATACTTAGCTCCTCATTTTGCCTCTGTTGTGCTTGTCTCCTTGCTGTTTTGTAGTTTATTTTTATATATTGAATTGTACCTAACTATGTTTACAAATGTGTAACTGGCAGAGTCATTATAGTTAACTACAAATAAAAACCATTAAAAAAATTATGTAAAATTTCAACTAATTGCTTGCATTTCTCATTTTCATTTAGTTTCCTCTGTACTTAAATAACTAAATCTGAAATAAAAATGAACAAAGACTATATACATAAGAAAAACAAATAAAATGACAAAACACAACAAACTTTCTAAAACACAGTGTATACATAAAAAAAAAAAAATTATATATATATATACAGTGGGTACGGAAAGTATTCAGACCCCCTTAAATTTTTCACTCTTTGTTATATTGCAGCAATTATATATATACTGTATATATAAATCTATTCATGTAATTCATGCTGTCTGTATTTGTCATTATTCCCACAGATCTTGAGTAAAGGTCAGATTGTTCAAGTGGAAAGGTTTAAGATGACAGGACAATCTCTAGTGACTCTGTCTCTGTCTGTAACCAAAGAAATGGTGCCGTCCTTCCGCTTTGTGGCTTATTACCATTTGGGCTCGTCTGAGGTGGTGTCTGATTCAGTCTGGGTCGACATGAAGGACACGTGCATGGGAACGGTGAGTGAACTCAGAAACCATGAGCATGATGAGTGCCTGTAGAAACCATCAGCATTTATGAGCATGTTCTTACTGCTTTTAATCGCAGCTCAAAGTCGAGGTGAAGGACCCGACATTATATGGCCCAGGAGATAAGCTCAGCTTGAAAATCACTGGAGACCCTGGAGCTAAAGTTGGGCTGGTCGCTGTAGATAAGGGTGTCTATGTCCTTAACGACAAGAACAGACTGACTCAGACTAAGGTAATTAACCTCAAATACAATAACCTCAGTAGTTTCAGACTTAAAATGACCTGGTCTCTTGTTGCTTTAGATCTGGGACATCATAGAGAAGCATGACACCGGCTGTACAGCAGGAGGTGGGAGGGACAGTATGGGGGTTTTCACTGATGCAGGTCTGATGTTTGAGTCCAACACTGCAGGAGGAACCAACACCAGAACAAGTACTTGAACAGTTAATTTAGCTAGAATTGAAGTGTTAGTTTTGTCATGCTCTGCATTCCCAAACACATCTGTCATGATCTTGTAGATATTGAGTGTCCTGTCCCATCCAAGAGAAAACGCCGAGCACAGAGTCTTCTGCAGGTCACCACTACACTGGGTAAGGAAGCTGTTTATGAAACCTGGCTAAGTGCGATTTATCAAATTGCAAAGGCTACGATTTAATTCAGTTATATTTCAGAGTGTTCTTTTACACACGAGCAGCTCATGATCCGGTGTTTTCAGCGTCTCAGCTCACATTAAACGCTGCTCCATATGAACTCATCTCTGCATCTGCTCTGAGTCTGGGTTGCTTGTAACGTGCACTTGGGATTGAAACATGCACCAGCCATCATCCCAAACTTGTAATGAGAAGCGCTTATGAACAAAAGAGAAGCTTTTAAGGGCTTTCTGCAGTTTTGCATCAAAATAAAAGTTTGATGGTTTAATGTTTGAAAAGAAAAGATATAAAAGAAAATATGAATATTGTAATTTTACAGTTGTACTGTAAAGTAAAATTATATTGTTTTCCTAATACTTGTTTTTTTTGTTTTTGTTACAGTGCAATATTACAATACTAATAGTTCTTATTTTGTTCATTATTTTTATTCCAAATTGTGCAGCCTTACAAACAAGGACAGCAAACCTGAAGTTTTGAAGTTTCGCAGTTCGATAATATAATGTAGCCCTAATTCATAAATATGATGAGCATGTTTTTCATTTATGAATTAAAATTTATTTGGGGCATGAAGTCAAAATTGTCAGAGTGATATAAAATATTTTAACAAAGCTGCTTTAATTTTTATAGTTGCATTATTATTTGAAAAGCATTTGCCTTAAATATTCTGTGTTGCGACCAAAGAGTGGGAGTATGCAGGAAAATGTAACAGGAAACTATGTTCTGTAGACCCTTATGACTGTGTCGAGGTTTTTGAAAGTTTAGGTTGTAAAATGTCATGTGGTATTATCTATTATATTTTTGAGTTACATCCAAAATTGATTTTAAAATGTTTTTCAAAGAAGTGTCTTATGTTTATCAAGGCTGCATTTATTTGTTTAAAAAAACAAACAAAAAAAAAACAGTACTATATTTTTTATGTGTGTGTGTGTGTTTGAAAGAAGGCACGCTGAGACTCCTTAATGTGATGCTTCTTTTAGAGACTGCAGTTCTCTGCAAATACAGACATACACAAGGCACACAAAAACAGCTTGAACAGCATGAAGACTGGCGTAAAAACAGTAATATTGTGAAATAGTATTACAATTTAAAATAACTGGTTTCTATGTGAATATTTTGCAAACTGTGATTTATTCCTCTGAGCCAAAGCTGAATTTTCAGCATCATTACTCCAGTCTTCAGTGTCACATGATCCTTCAGAAATCATTCTAATATGTTCATCCCAAACTTGTAATGAGAAGCGCTTATGAACAAAAGAGAAGCTTTTAAGGGCTTTCTGCAGTTTTGCATCAAAATAAAAGTTTGATGGTTTAATGTTTGAAAATAAATAAATTAAGACCTTTTTTTTTTTTTTGAGTAATAATAATAATTATTATCATTTTATATACTTTTTTATTTTATAGCCATAACAAAATGTGTACCAAATAGTGCAGCCCTACATTTAAAAAAATATATATTTTTTTTATTTTTATCAGAAAAAAAAAATCACAATTAGATTTTTCTCCTAAGTCGTGCAGCCCTTTTCATGCTGTTCCTCTCCTTGTGTCCTCATTGTTTCTACACTATCATTGTCTTCTCAGCTGGTCAGTACTCTGGTGATCTGAAGAAGTGCTGTGTGGACGGATTTCAAGATAATAAACTCGGCTACTCCTGTGAACGGCGGGCTTTATTCATCGTAGATGAAGATGAATGTGTTAAGGCCTTCCTGCACTGCTGCAAGGAGATGCAACGCCACAAGGCTGACTTCGCAGAGAAAGAGTTTTTTCTGGCCCGCAGTGAGATTTTAGCCTCATTTGCAAAATACATTCTCACAGCTCTCAAACACAGTGATTTCAGCAAGAGAATTATCTACCTACCTAACTCTCAAATGCTTCGTTATTGCTTTTTCAAGCTAAATATATATAAAGAATTTTGCTCACCAAAGCTGTTTTTATTTGATAAAAAATACAGTAATATTGTGAAATAGTATTACAATTTAAAATAACTGGTTTCTATGTGAATATTTTGCAAACTGTGATTTATTCCTCTGAGCCAAAGCTGAATTTTCAGCATCATTACTCCAGTCTTCAGTGTCACATGATCCTTCAGAAATCATTCTAATATGTTAATAAAAGTTTGATGGTTTAATGTTTGAAAATAAATAAATTAAGACCTTTTTTTTTTTTTTGAGTAATAATAATAATTATTATCATTTTATATACTTTTTTATTTTATAGCCATAACAAAATGTGTACCAAATAGTGCAGCCCTACATTTAAAAAAATATATATTTTTTTTATTTTTATCAGAAAAAAAAAATCACAATTAGATTTTTCTCCTAAGTCGTGCAGCCCTTTTCATGCTGTTCCTCTCCTTGTGTCCTCATTGTTTCTACACTATCATTGTCTTCTCAGCTGGTCAGTACTCTGGTGATCTGAAGAAGTGCTGTGTGGACGGATTTCAAGATAATAAACTCGGCTACTCCTGTGAACGGCGGGCTTTATTCATCGTAGATGAAGATGAATGTGTTAAGGCCTTCCTGCACTGCTGCAAGGAGATGCAACGCCACAAGGCTGACTTCGCAGAGAAAGAGTTTTTTCTGGCCCGCAGTGAGATTTTAGCCTCATTTGCAAAATACATTCTCACAGCTCTCAAACACAGTGATTTCAGCAAGAGAATTATCTACCTACCTAACTCTCAAATGCTTCGTTATTGCTTTTTCAAGCTAAATATATAGGGTATATTTGTAGCAATAGCCAAAAATATTGTATGGGTCAAAATGATTGATTTTTCTTTTATGCCAAAAATCATTAGGATATTAAGTAAAGATCATGTTCCATGAAGATATTTTGTAAAATCCCTACTGTAAATATATTAAAACTTAATTTTTGATTAGTAATATGCATTGCTAAGAACTTCATTTGGACAACTTTAAAGCCGATTTTCTCAATATTTAGATTTTGTTTTTTGCACCCATAGTTGTATGTCGGCCAAATATTGTCCGATCCTAACAAATCATACATACATCAACGGAAAACGTATTTATTCCGCTTTCAAATGATGTATAAATCTCAATTTCGAAAAATTGACACTTAAGACTGGTTTTGTGGTCCAGGGTCACATTTGATCTAGTTAATGCCTCCTTGCTGAATTTATTTCAGAAAGAAAAAAAGAAAAAAACTTGCTAACTGCAAACCTTTGAATAGTAGTGCATACTAGTTGGTTTCTTGTTCAGGTGAAGAAGATGATTTTGATGAGGAACTAGGTGAAGTGATGGTGCGCACACAGTTTCCTGAAAGCTGGCTTTGGGAGGAGATCGATCTTCCTCTCTGCCCACAAAACCAGCTGTGGTGAGAAAATGTTTTATGATGTATTCATTTACAAATACAGTAAATCTAACTTTTTGTGGGAACCAAGATGTTGTTCTTTCGACAAGTTGAAACAAGTTTGGACACAGTTTTATCAGCTATAAATTAGTCATATGCGTTCTTCATTTGTAAGGTAAATCCTCAAATTAAAACTATAGTGGCGGTGAGCAAATAAGTGTCTGCAGTGATATTTGTTTGAAAATTCTTGGAGGGACTGGCTGTAGATGTTGAAGAGATTTGACCATGACAGTGTCTTGGTTTGTGTCTAGCGCCGAAACGTCTACCTTAAGAACTGAAATATTCCTTAAAGACTCCATCACAACCTGGCAGATCACAGCCATCAGCCTGTCCAAGACCCTTGGTAAAAAGACGCTCTTGTTCATTTGTTATTTATTATTATTTGTTGTTCTTTGACGCTCCCTTTGTTTCTCTGCAGGAATGTGTGTGGCTGATCCTTATGAGATCACTGTTAGGAAAGATTTTTTTATCGATCTGAAGATGCCTTATTCGGCGGTGCGCAATGAACAACTGGAAATAAAGGCTGTTCTTCACAATTACAGCAGTCAGAAGTTGAAAGTATGTGCAGTTTACTGGCACGGTACATTGTACTAATCCTGTAAAACCTACTGTTTCGTATTTGATACGCAAATTTCTAAGGCCTCTAAATGATCGACATGATCAAAACTTTGCTGTGGAAGCTGACACACACAATCTACTACATGCCTTCTGATTGATAGTTTAGACTCTTTTAGTAAGTAAAAGGCCTTTTAGCATACTTGTAAAAACGTCCACCTTCTGCTTGTGCTTTACATGTTTTTTTATTTGTTATAAAGTAATTGTAAGAATACCTTTGATATTGTTAGTAGTATTTCAAGATGAACATTTACTGGACTGAAGCAACTCAGGTTTACTTGATAATCCAGATCATTCTTTAGAAAAATTGCAAATATGAAAATCAGGGTTGGTTTGTTTGTTCATCTGTCAATAATCAATGTATTGTGTTGCATTATATGTTTTCAAACTACAGAGCTTTGATCATAAAACTAAGCATTTCATTATGATCTTAAGATGTATTATTGGGAGATATAGAGTGACCGCTATTATTTATATCATTTTATGTAAGTATCTGCTATACTGTTCTAAAGATCTCATTGATTTACATTACAAGCATCAGAATTTCATTTTACTTTTTGCTCATATAAATATCAGCAGCTGCATCAAATTGCATATTCATGCTCAGTTTTGGCCTCTGAATAAAACTGAGTTGTTTTTGTTTACTATTTTTTTTTTCATGCTTTACGAGGTTAAACTGTACAGCAGTGGACTGGACTGTACTGTACGGTTTCTCCACATGCTTAAGATCTTTTTTTTTTTGTCTTATACCAGACGGTGCAAATTAGATTTAAGACATCAGAGGGTATTTGCAGCAGTGCCAGCAAAAAACAGAAAGGCAGGGTAACCGTTTCTGTTGGCCCCATGTCCTCCATAGCCGTCCCTCTCATCATCATCCCCATGGAGCTGAAAGAGCAGTGGATTGAAGCTGAAGCATACAGCTCGAATCGCAATGATGCAATTAGAAAGAATCTGAAGGTGGTGGTGAGTCTGCCATGTCAACGTTTAGAGGAAGGCTCTGGTGATTTCTGCAGGAACCAATCACTTTATTCACTTTATTTCGAGATTTTCAATGCGTCCACCAAGTTGCATTTGTGTCCGTCTTTCTTTCAGCCTGAAGGTGTGCTAACCGAAGTCCGGGAGAGAATTGTGGAGATCAACCCATCCGAGCATCCAGGTGCAGCTTCTTTAGAAACACTGAATATGCAGTGAAAATGGTTGTAAATGACAGCTGAAATCCTCTTTAAACACCGTATGTCCTCTTGACTGAACAGGTGGCTCGCAGGTCGTGTCTATGAGGAGCGACATCCCTCGCCGAAAGGTTCCAAACACACCTGCTTCCACAGTGATCACAGTGATAGGTGAAAATCTCATTGCACTGTCCTTCTCTGAGGCACGTAGGGCCCTATGAAATCCATTTAAATTTTTTTCCCAAATTCCTTTTTTTTTTTTTTTTTTTTATGGATTAAATTTTAATGGTTGATTTTAGTAAACGAAAAGCATGTCTAATTCATTGATATCATGAGACTTTATTAAAAGTTTAACCAAAGTTACATTTTAGCCCCCCACCCCAACTTTCATGTTTTCTATTTATTTATTTTTTTCTGGATTCCATTTAATTTAATTATTGCTAACAATTAAATGTTAGTAATCAAAAAGCATGTATAATCAACTGAATTCATAAAACTAACAATTTAATAATGTTTACAATTCAGAAATTCAGTGTTGTCGGTTTTAACTGTTCTGGATTTATGATTGAATAGAAATGTATTATCAAAAATTGTGGTAAACAAAGGAGGAGTACATATTAACAATTTAATTAACCTTTTAAAATGGAATCAAACAAAAATGTAAAAAAAAAACAATCCTTTTATTTTAATTTTTTTTTTTTTTTTTTTTTTGGCAAACAAAGTTCTGAACAGCAGTTAGAAAACCATGCAAGAAATATTGTATTGTATAGTCCTTAAAAGTTGTTTAATATTTATTATTATTATTATTATTATGATGATGATGAGAATTACATTCCACTGTACAATAATAATACATTTCTGTCTGTTTCTTTTTTTTTTTCGAAGGGTTTGATTAATTGTACTAATATAACTTCTAATGCCAACTGCCAAATATGACACTTACATATCAATACAATTTATGAGCGCACATAGAAAAGAGAGAAAGTAGGGATTTTTATTTTTATTTTATGTATTTATTTATAAAAACATTTTACACATATCTTTTTTCTCATTTTTTTCTGACCATCAAGTGTCCGTCACTAAATTCTAACCATATTTTACAACAGATAACGTGTCAACAATTCATACAACTATTTCCACACAGTGGCATAGTGGACGGGCACGCACTGCTGGGGGTGGGGGGCGATAACCTCCCCGTGCTAAGATGCGTCGTATCATGTGTCGACAATAGCCAGAGATATTGTCAAAAGCATCAAAAATTGGCAATATTAAGAGGATTTAGCATTTCCAATTAATGTAGGCCTGTTTCATTCTTATTATTATTAGGCATATTATTATTATTTGGTTACTTTTATTATTAAATAATAAGAAATTATTGCTCCGCAATGATTTAATAGTGCATCACCACATGACGCGCTGTGAGGATAATTAAAATTTAGGCTATTAGCTTACTCCTCATTGAAAATATTTTTTTTTTTTTTTTTTTTTAAAAGTCATCAATGAAAATTAAGAGCAGCTTTATTTCGTGCACCGATTTTTCAAAAACAACCTTTTTATTGCGAAATATGTTTCTTGTAATGTTTTTCACTATACGGGCGACAAGAGAAATATTGAGGGAATAATGTAAGACCGTTATATACCGTTATCAGCATATGTTGAAGTAGTTTCGTCTCTCGTTGTCTCAGAGAATATGCGCCGTTAATGCAGCGCTAGAAAGCTCCGTCAGTTTTTTTACTTTCACTTTCTCTATACTGAATTGACTGACGTTCACCGGCATAACTATTGCGCACAGTTTGCGCGTTGCTTGCTTGTGTTGCTTGACCCCTCCCCCATAATATCAATTGTTTATAGGCCACATATTAAGCACTTTTTTTTTTAGATTTTTAATGTTTATTTTTCAATGTTAATGAAATTGACACCAAAAAAGAGGAACATCATTAGGAAATCCTTGGGGGGGCTGTGCCTGGGCTAAGCACGTTTCTGATTGGGCTATAGCCCCGTCAAGCCCCGCCCTAGCGCCGCCACTGAGAATGTCCACCACTATGTGATTAATTTGTTGTTCCGGTCAAGGCTATCAGCGGGAGTTGACCTTCCGTAAAGCTGATGGGTCATACGGTGCCTGGATACACGTGCCGAGCAGCACATGGTGAGATAATGCAGATTATTTACAGATAATGATTGTTTTTCTTGCATGTTTCTTGTATTATGCTTAAGTTGGCTTTCTCTCTTGTGTCCATTTTCAGGCTGACAGCATATGTGGCTAAAGTGTTCGCGATGGCCAGTGATCTGATTGTCATAGAGGAGAATGTGATCTGCAGCGCCCTCACCTGGCTGGCCACAAAAAAACAGATGCCAGATGGCGCATTTAAAGAAGATGCGCCCGTGTATCACAGCGAGATGGTTGTAAGTTACATTTTTTGAAAATTCCCCTTCAAAAATCCTGCACAACTTTCAGATCCGTTGCGCTCTGGCGATTCCCAGCTTCTGGTCCTGTTCCCCTCTATCTTCTCCCATTATGTCCTGCTCCTGTCAAAATAAAGGTGAAAAAGCCCATAAATATATCTTTAAAGAAAAAAAAATCAAGTACAATCAACAGGTAGGTGCCTCCAGTAATCTGAAAGTCATGGCTTTATGTGGAATACATCATGCAGGGCTCAACGCTAAGGATTTTTTCTATTGGCCCAGTTGGGACAGTGGATCAAATTTTTACTCTTTACTTACATTTTCACTGGCCCTGCCACGAAAAAAAAAGAAAAGAAAGAAACAGTTGTTGTTATGGTTGTTTTTGACCCGTTTTATCTTGTATTCTAATAAATAAGCTTATATGATACCACAATTTCAAATACCAGTTAAATTTTACTGGTTTCAATTTCAATCATTATTAAAGACAAGTGAGCAGATGGTAACAAATGAACAAATAACAAGCAATAGCACATAATAAATAAATAGAATAAAGATACAAATTAAACAATGCTTTGGGTTTTTAGGTTTGTATGTGTTCAGCTACAGAAATCAATAATCAAATGTAAAATAACATTGCATATCCTTCTCTGTATAAATTATATATAGATTAATCCTTGTTAAAGCTACAAAAGTTATTCAGCCAAGAGCAGTGAGTGATTTTATTTTATTATTTTTTTTCTGGATTAACATTAATGACACCAACAGCAGCTGGTAAATTAGGTGTGGCCACTTTAAGAGACCAAATATAATACACATCCTTCTTTCTCAACTGTTTATGTTCACTTAAGACTATTTTCGAGGATACTCGCCAAGACGGGTATTTTGTATGTATTTGTCCATTCAAACACAAGAAGACGAGGAAAGAAACTCGATTTGGTTCTCGCACATTGCCTGATACGCGGCTCTATGTGTGTGCGCTGTGCTCACAGAACACACTGAATGGAGTTGTTATTTGCGTCTTCTTGCCCTTGAACGCTTTAAAATCAATTGAATGTTTAAATTGGCTAGGCTTAAAAACACATGCAAATGATAAACTTTCATGATAACGCAGCAGTGAAAATCCGTCAAGAAACAAGTAGCTGGATAGATACTGTTATTCCTGAACACCAGAACAACTTGCAAGTACAATATGTGAAAGTCTGTTAAACCATGGGCTGTTCCTGGCCGTGTGTAGCACTCTACATATTTTTCAGAAGCATTCCGACATTCTTGTTGCATCATTATACAACATCTTATTATTTGAGTGTATGTCAATTCCAGGGTAATGTGCGCGGGAAAGATGCCGATGCCTCTCTAACTGCATTTGTCCTGATTACAATGCAAGAGGGGAGCAAGATCTGTGCTAGATCTGTAAGTGTGATTCCTGGAAACAGCTCTACGATACGTCATCTTCATCTCGAGCACGTCTAACTCAGTCTCTCTCTCTATACTAGAATCTTCAGAGCAGTATGAACAGAGCCATTAATTACCTGCTGCTGAGAGTTCACAGCCTGACAAGCACTTATGCTGTCGCTATGACTTCTTATGCTTTGGCCCATGCTGGAAAACTCAATAAAGACATCTTGAAGAGTCATTCCTCTAAAAGCAAAGGTCAGTAACAGTCTGTCAAAACTCGGCGAATGTCTAGTAGCATGAAGGTGAGATTCAGTACAGTTGAGGTCACTTCTCCATGGCAAACGCTTGTAAGATAATTGTAGCAGGTTTGTTGTAGTTAACTAAAACTGAAATCATAAAACAAAAACATTTTTGTTACTTGGAGAAAAAATAATAATAATAATAAA